TGCACACACGTGTGCAAAGGTGTACAAAGAATGCAGTTCATTCAGACTGAGAGCTGGTTGGGAATTTTGGCAATGAAATGTTTATCAGAAAAAATTATCAAAAGTGAAACCTTACACAGACATGTTTTGATTTAAATGGTTAAATGGTGCCCAATGATTAGGGCACTCATCTGGGCTAGGGAAAACCCAGATTCAATTCCCTCTTCCAAATCAGGCAGAGAAGGTCCTTGAAATTATGTAAGCAACAGCATGTGGCCACAATCTTGGGAATATGGTCCTCCAAGAAGCTCCAGACTACCATAGAGACACCTCCATCTCCCTTGCAATCTGCCAAAGGCACATTCAACAACCATGCGGTATCGGCTTACAGGGTGGCAGTGTAAATATGATTTGTTAACTTTCTTTTTTGCTGACAGTACTCTTATCACCATATCTTTCCTGTGGAGACATAGCCAACATCTAAACTATCCCCAATGCTGATGCAACTAGGCTGACAGAAGAATGCTTCCGTCAACCTGGCTACCATCACTTGGGGAGGTGGAGTTCCTACAGTGCTGGCAAATACCCTTTTCTCATTGTAGTTAACATCTGTACCAGAGAGTTTTAGCAGTATGGCATGGCACTGTAGCCTCCAGGGTATTGTTATGGCTGAAGTCCTTTCTCACTCTAGCACAAAAAACCACACTAGTTTAGTGTCCTCACCCCCATTTTCTGGAGATCTTTTATTGGCAGTGTGAAAGAACAGCTCCAGAACAAAGCTCAGCCTCGCTGTGACAGGGCGCTGTGTGAGAGAGGCTTTATCAGCCCCTTGTCACTCCAGCCCCAGTAAAGGGGAATGGATGGGAGATGGTTGAACAGTCTTGTGCTTGCCTGGCAACGAGAAACAGCTGCCAGCCTAATAAGCCAGCGGCTATGAAGGCTGGGAGAAAGAAAGCCATGGGAGGAGAAAGGGAAAAGAAAAAGGCCACATGCAGAGAGGAGTGAGGCCCTCTTGTCTGCTGCTGGCAAAGTCTGGCTGTTGAAAACCCTATGGTAGAAATTATGGGAAAGACCTGCAAATAAAGAACACGGGTGTTTGTGTCAGCCTGAGGCATTCCCGACTGATTTGTGAGGGAAGCAGGAGCAGAAACTAGAGGGGCCCAGTTTGCACCTTGCAACTCTAGCCTAGAGTTCTTTCTTTCAAATCCCATAGGAGCTCTGTGTCTCAGACCCTACTTCCTTCTGTCCTCTCCCTGCCAATGGGGATAGACATATCACTATATTAAAAGAGAAAAGATTTTAAAATGGCTACAGCTATCAGAATGTGCATGACAGTTTGCAGTCCCAGAAGAAGCTCAAAATTTCCATTTCAGCTAAGATGACTCTGGCGACAGAGGCATGTAGATTAGACTACCCGGCATAGGAAAATGAAGCGGCGATTTAAATAATCGCCGCTTCATTTAAATTTACATGGCTGCCACGCTGAGCCGATCAGCTGTTTGTCGGTTCAGCGGGCTAGTCTGGACATTCCACGGTCAACATCAACGGCATTTGTCGACCGCCCCATTATGCCTTGTGGGATGAGGTTTACCGGGGCGGTCGACAAATGCCTTTGATGTCAATTGCGGAGCGTCCAGACTAGCGCGCTGAGCCGACAAACAGCTGATCAGCTCAGCGCAGCAGCCATGTTAATTTAAATGAAGCGGCGATTATTTAGATCGCCGCTTCATTTGGGTATGTCTAGTAAACTAATCTACATGTCTCTAGTGACAGAGCCATGTAGTCTAGATATACCCTCAGTGTTTTTATGTTGCTGCACAGTATTATTTCCAAGATGCTGCCATTATAGCTGCTGAAAAAATTGGGAAAAAACAGTCCCAAATTAGGGTGTTTGTGTGTGTGTAAATAATTTTTTTCCTTAAAAATTAAAATTTTAGACTTCACTAGAGAAATTCTACCCATCCCCAAGAATTCAGAGAACGTGCTGTGTGGATACAGCATTTGCTTGTACCTTACGGTTAATACTCCCTTGGCTTTTTGTGTCCTTGTCCTTTTCAGTATTCTGGAGGAGCACTCACTGCAGTAATATGGGACCATGTCGATCTTATTACTTTACCTGTTTTATCTTTTGTGAAATTGAGCCGTTAGTCAGAATTGTCTAAGCTGCTCCTCCAGCAATTGGTTAACTGTGACGCTCCTCAAACTCATTTCTTTCAAGTAATTTGAGTCCCATGTGCTCACTGAGATTGCTTTTTTGCAGAAAGGAAATGGTATGTGTGCGGGTGGCAGCAGACAAGGACGGTTATGTCTGACAAATGCAGATTTCAGATAAAACAAAAACATGTTTTAAAAGACCACATTGTACTTCATTTCCCTTCACCTAAGTCTGTAAAGCAAAAGGTTTTCTTGTTCATTGGATGCAGGCACATGGAAGGTCTTTTATGCTCAGAGAGTACAAAATAGCAAGCTAAATTCCATCCTTCTGTCATTGTGTATTAGTTATGCGTGAAGCCGATGTGATACTTTCTCATTCATATTGCCAGAAAAAAGTGTAGAATAATTAGGTTATTTTGGAACTGTGGTCATAAAAAGTTTCTGAGGACTTAAAAGGTATGTCTATCTTAGGAAATTATTTTGAAATAACTTATTTTGAAATAATAACTCCCCGAATAACTATTTTGAAGTAGTGTGACCACACTGAAAGGAAGCCTCAAAATTAGTCTGAGGCAGGCTCCCTTAATGTGGACACACTATCTGGACTTAAAGCCCTAGGAAGCACTGGGGAGTAATTACTTTGAATGTCTTTGGGGAGTAGTTATTTCAAAATAGCAGCAGTGAAGCGTCCTCACTACTGCTATTTCAAAATAACTATTTCAAAATTAGCATTATTCCTTGTGGAAAGCAGGAGTTAGTATTTGGAAATAATAGGCTTTGTAGTGTGGATGCTCCACTTTTTATTTTGAAATAAGGGGAGCTATTTCAAAACAACTCCCTAGAATAGACCTGGGCATTGATAATTTTTGAAATACTGGGCAGAGTTCAGGGTTTTTATTTTATTCCTCAAACTGTTTCTTTCACATCCTGGCTATTTAGTGGTAATTGAGTGCCAGTAGTGTAGATCAACTTCTATTTAAGTTTGCCTACTATGGAAATAGTTTCTTAAATAAAATACAATTTACTTAGATTTATAATTTCATAAAATTGAGACTATTTTATTGTAGCTTTGAGCAAATGTAATGCTGACAGACCTTGGTCATCTTTGGATGGAATTGAACTTGGGAACCTCTGGGCTGTGTCTACACTGGGCCACTTGTTCCGGAAAATCAGCCACTTTTCCGGAATAAGCTGCGAGCTGTCTACACTGGCCCTTGAATTTCCGGAAAAGCAACGATGCTCTACTGTACAAAATCAGCCGCTATTCCGGAAAAACTATTCTGCTCCCGCTCGGGCATAAGTCCTTATTCCAGAACACTGTTCCGGAAAAAGGCCAGTGTAGACAGCCCAGTAGTCTTTTCCGGAAAAAAGCCCCGATCGCGAAAATGGCGATCGGGGCTCTTTTCCGGAAAAGCACGTCTACATTGGCCACAGATGCTTTTCCGGGAAAAGGGCTTTTCCGGAAAAGCAGCCTGCCAATGTAGACGCTCCTTTTCTGGAAAAACTGAAAATGGAATAGTATTCCGTTTTAAGCAGTTCTGGAAATTCATGCCAGTGTAGACACAGCCCAGGGCTACGTCTACACTGGCCCCTTCTTCGGAAGGGGCATGCTAATTTTGAAAGTGGGAATAGGGAAATCCCGCGGGGGATTTAAATATCCCCCGCGGGATTTAAATAAACATGTCTGCCGCTTTTTTTCCGGCTTGGGGAAAAGCCGGAAAAAAGCGTCTAGACTGGCCCGATCCTCCGGAATAAAGCCCTATTCTGGAGGATCTCTTATTCCTACTTTGAAGTCCTACTTTGAAGTAGGAATAAGAGATCCTCCGAAATAGGGCTTTATTTATAAACAAGCCCGAGCGGGAGCAGAATAGTTTTTCCGGAATAGCGGCTGATTTTGTACAGTAGAACGTCGTTGCTTTTCCGGAAATTCAAGGGCCAGTGTAGACAGCTCGCAGCTTATTCCGGAAAAGAGGCTGATTTTCCGGAATAAGTGGCCCAGTGTAGACACAGCCTGTGTGTGTGTGGGAGGGGGGGTTTCGGGATACCAGAGGTATCCCAAAAAATCTCTGCCACATCCAGAGAATATGGTTACTCTTCCACTTTTTTTTGTAGAAGAGCAAACGTGCTCTTTTGAAAACCCCTGTATTCCTCTTTCCATGAGGAAGAAGGGGGCTTTTTTGGGGGGTGTGGGGGGTTCAAAATTTGGCCCAGTCTAGATAGGCCAAATTTTGTAAAAGCCTCTCCTGACAAAAGTGTCGGAAAAAGATACGCAAAATGCAGAGTGCATTTCCTGCAGAGTGCATTTTGCGTATCTTTTTCTGATAAATCTTTGCAGTCTAGCCATACCCTCACAGAGTTGGACACGGGCAGCTCAATTTTTAAAATCATAGATTTTTAAAAAACTCTTAGATATTTCTAAAGACATTTTTCTATATGCTGTGAAGCATAAACACAATACATGTTTGCGTGGTATGAATGTTTTATTTCCACTTCTGTGGTATGACCTCTATTACTTTCTTTGTTTCCACTACTTTTGAATAATAAATTTCCCAAATAAAGTTGATTGGAATATTGGGGGAAAAAAACACTTACCATGATATTTTAAAATATAACTCTTCAATATTAAACACAATGACTAGGTATATGTCTGGAAGAAAAATGGGAACATATTTTCATTAAAAAGCCCTTGCAATTAATCTCTCTGTAAACGCAATATGTTGAGTTTAAAAAACTGCATTGAAAAATGATTTTCGGAAAATGTATACCAATTATAATCCCCAGCTCCTGCTGATAAAAACCTTTGTACCACACGGGCACTATCAGATCTGTTTTACCTATTTCTTCTTTTTATTTCCACTCTTTTTCAGGTTTTCCAAATGAGCCTGCTGCTGTTATTGCCCTTACCACTGTTAAGGAATGGTTGAACAAGAATCACAATGAGGTATGGCGTATAAGAAAACTTTCCTGCTCAGATTTTGGGATTACGTAGTTTGACCCCAAAATTGTGACAGAGCATATCATTACCCCGTTATCCCTTGAAATCAAGACTATTTAAAATACAACAAAGCTGATGAGAAACATCAGTGATCTTTTGGACCATACATAACAGGAATATGATCATATTTAATAAGCCATATGGAGGCTAATGGGAAATATATTCTATTTGAAATTATACTGTGCATTTCCTGTGCATTGTGGCATTTCTTGGCAAAGTAAAATAACCTCTTTGCATAAAGTTGTTCCTGAGAGACAAAGTTTTAATAGAATAATGAAAAGAATCCTGTAAAGGGAATGTATATGCACTTCAATGGAACAGCTACCAGGGATGGAATATTTTAGAAGCTGGTTTATACCAAAGAGCTTTTAGGGTAATATTCTCTCTGTGTGTTAATTTTTAGGTCCCTTACACTTCATTACACTTATGCTTTACATACAAAACTGTCTAGTCTACTGTTAGACATAAGTGTGAAATTTTAACAGACCTAGACTATTTCCACATGTACTCTTACGAATTTTTTTTATGAAACAAAATGCTTTCAAGAGTGGTCTCTATATCTCCTGTTCTGTTTCTCTTTTCTTCTATTTTTCTTCTTAACTCTAATGGAATATTTTCAATGGCACTGAACTGGAGACTTGAGCAGAAAAAAAGCAACTGACTGAATAAAATAATCACAATGTCTTAAATTTAAGACATTCCTGTTTCCATATTTTGACAGCCAGCAGATTTCCAAGAATCTAGAGTTGTTTAATACTTTTCTCACAAAATGTTTAATTTTGCAGAGAGTAGGTTAGTATGATTTCCTGAAGATTCATCTCTATTATATTTCAGCTTAGAAATGTATCTCTTTGTTTCTGTTTATCAGAGCGTAGGGATATGAAGTGATAAATTGAGCAAGTTATTTTCAGCGACTTTAGAATTGAATGCACATTGTATGCTGAGATTTTTTTTAAAAATGGATATTTCAGTGTCCGTATTTAAGTCCTAAATAACTAGCCTGACTCTCCAGAATGCTGAGCACCCAAGAGTTCCCCTGGTCTTCAAAATGTCAGCACTGAAATCAGTCGGTGCTCTAGATGCTTGTTTCTTTTGAAAATTAGGCCATTGTTTTGGTGCTTCTGCTTTCGAAAGCCTCTCTGGGCTTCTGAGTCTGGTTTATCCTAAAATAGGTGCAATGGTAGACACTGAGGCTTCTTCTTCACTGCGAGTTTTGTTGGCAAAAAATATGCTAAAGAGGGACTCATTAGTATAAGTCGCAATCTCATTAACATATTTTCTGCCATTTCCTTTTGTGCAAGGGGTTTTTGTGCAAAAAGAAATGGTGTGGATGGTTTTTTTTTTTTAGCATAAACCCCGTTTTGCGCAAGATTCTTATGCCAGTTCCGGAGAGGCATAAGAATATTACACAAAATGGGGTTTCTTCGCTAAAACCCCTTGCGCAAAAAGAAACAGCAGAAAATATGCTAATGAGATATAAACTTATGCTAATGAGTCCCTCATTAGCATAATTTTTACCGACAAAACTCACAGTGAAGATGAAGCCTGAGAATATTCCATCCAACCCCATGTGTTTTAGTTGTCTGATACTTTTTCCACTTTGTGCTTTTCACCACACATTTCAAACAAACACCTTTCCTTTTCCAGAAGTAAATCTGTCTCTCTCTCAGCTTGTGTACTGTTAACTTCAATTCCCTTCCTTATAATTTGTTCTTTTAAAGATGCTTCAGGAAGCCCGACTTCTTTTGCCAAAGCAGACTGCAAATCAGAGTAAAACAGATGGGCAAGAGTTCTTTAGACAAAAGCCATTTTCTCATCTTGCCCTATGGCTTGGGCTATTGTTTTTAAGATGCAAAGAATATGCATTTCCCTGGACATTATCTGAACCCTTGAAGCCTGTCTCTTGCCTGACCTATGTCTTGCTGATGCTTTTTCTCTGCTTCTTCCTACTCCTCTATGGCTCAGTGTGCTGCCCCAGTACTTTTCTAGCTCCCTCAATTAACTTGACAGAATGTCCTTCCCTGGTTCTTGGAAACCTCTATCTCTGCCTTAAATAGAAGGCTTGTTATGAGTTGATTGGAGCTGTAGGAGTCATAGTTTGAAGTGGGAGGGCTTATCTGGTTTGTGTGTTTTACTTGAGTTACAGACATGTTAGGGAAAGGAATGTGACTCAGTCTGGAAAGTGGCATATAGTTTGCAATCTGCATATATTGGGGTAAATCCTAAATGACATTGGGAATGGGCACTTGAGACCTCCTTTTCTTACTTTCTCTAAACCAGTTGCTTCTAATTCTGAGCCTTCCCATCCTGCAGATCCCCACCCTTTTACTTGCTCATTGCAGTCATCCCTTTCTTTAAGCTCTTCTGAAGCAGGACTGTAACTTCTTGTGTTTTTGTGTGCCACCAAGTGGCATGGAACCCACATTCTGATTGTGGTCATTAGGCACTACCACAGTACAAATTGGTTTTTTTTAATAATGTGTTTACAACATTGCTCCTTCTAATTATGGACTGGTTATGTCTGTCTTGGTTCCCAGTATATCACTGTTATATTGTTGTGTTCCCTGGCATTCAGGAGCACATCAAACCCAAGTCTTCAGTGTGATGCATTTTAATGCATGTTGAAGGCCAGACTCTTAACATATCAATGAACACAACCATTCAGGAGTAATCTCCTGGGCTGTTCACTATTTTTGGAGAAAAGGAGGGTTCTTGATGTAATGTTCCTGCTAATTATTTCTATTCATTTGTGGATTTTTTCCCATCCACGTGCAGAATAATTGTATGTGCACCAAGGCATGTGTGAATGTGCACCACCAGTAGAAACAAAAAACCTAGCTGTGGGTGCTCTGCTAATCAGCTTGAATCTCTCCTAAGTGGCTGCATTACCGCACAGTTTACATTGGTACTTGATTGGTTGAAGATCTGATTTGTGTGAAAAGTCATATACCAGTAGCAGAAACCCCACTGAAGGCCATGAATTAGAAAAACTGAACAGTCTGAATGAGGGTTTTAGAAAATAAAAATCTTTCTTACACCATTGTTCATAAGTTATATGGATTTCTATAATCCGGTCTCACGTGTATTTTAAAATACCAGACATTAACATGCTTAACGCTCTTCAATAACGTACTTGATTTCTGCAATCAGGACAATCTTTAAAAACCATTCTTTGCATAAAAGTGAGAAGAAAACCTTTGACAATTGAAATCAGTTTATATAGTCAAAAATTTTAAGGCCAGAAGAGACCTGATCATATTGTCTGGTGTGCTGGATAGCACTAACCATATGTTTTCTCTAAATATTTCCTGAATGATACCTTTAGAAGAACACCCAGGATTGATTTAAAATTGCCTTGGAAAGATGTGTCATTGGTTAATTACTCTTAATCTTAAAAAGTTTTGCCTTCCTTCCTATCTCAGTTAGTCTAGCTTCAGCTTCCACACAGCTAAATATTATGCCTTTCTCTGCTAGGTTGAAGAACCCATTATTAAATATTTGTTCCCCATGTCAGTACTTTCAGACTATAATTGTTACCCCTTTACTTTCTTCTTGGTTAGTTAAATATATTGAGTTCTTTGAGGCTATCACTATAAGGCACATATTCTAACCCTTTAATCATTCTCATGGTTCTTCAAACCCTCCCCAGTTTTTTAAAACTGATTCTTTAAATGTGAACATCAGAGCCAGACACAGTATTCCAGCAGTGGTCAGATCACTGCCAAATATGAACATCAGAGCCAGACACAGTATTCCAGTAGTGGTCAGACCACTGCCAAATGCAGAGGTAAAATAAATTCATAATTTGTATTTAAATTCCCCTGTATATACGTCCAAGGATCCTGATTGCCCTTTTGAACACTGGAGCTCATGTTAAGCTAACTATCTGCCAGCATACCTGAATGTTTTTCAGACCCATTGCTTTCAAGGATATTGTCCCCCATCCTGTAATTTGTAGCCCGTATTCTTACATTTAGCTATATTAAAATATATATACTGTTTGTGTGTGCCAAGTTGACCAAGAAATCCAAGTTGTTCTGTGTCAGAATGTTGACACCTATCAGTTAGTCGGCTTTTAATCCATTTAATGTGTACTGCATCAATTTAGTATCATTCTAACGTTTAATCAAAATTCGCAGTAACAAATCAACTGCTTTAGAGAAGTCTAAGTCTATTGCATCAACTCTGCTGCCTTTGTCACCCAAACTTGTAGTTTCTTCTTCTTCAAAAAAAAAGACATCAAGTTAGTTTGAAAGGATCTATTTTTCACAAACCCAAGTTGATTGGCATTAATTATATTACCTACCCTTTAATTCTATATTGATCAAGTCCTCTTTCTCAACCAAGCTGCTCCATTATCTTGTCCAAGATCAATGTCAAACTGCCAGGCCTATAATTATATAGGCTATCCCATTTACTCTTTTCAATATTGGCACTATATTAACTTTGTTCCAGCGGTCTGATACTTCCACAGTGTTCTGAGATTTATTGAAGATCAATATCAATGGTCCAGCAAGCTCTCCAGCTAGCTATTTTAAAACACTTGGATGCTGGTTATCTGGACCTGCTGATTTTGAAAAGGTGTATGGTTAGTATCTGCAGTTTAACATCTAGAGAAAATCATCAGGTGATGAGAGTACATCATCATACACCCTCCTCCAAATTCAGCTGGAGTTCTCTTGTGCTCCAAACATAGTCAGCCAGTGTAAATTGACAACTCTCCGTTGACTTCAGTGGAGTTGCAGCAGTTTACACCAGCTGGGTACAAGGATGTGGTCTACTGTATTTAGTCTACACTTACCATCTTCTTTGGATATGATTTTGTTGATAATTTAAACAATAACAAACTTCAGCCTAAGCTTTCCCCTTAAGCTCAATGCTTCTTAGGGCCTCTTTGCAGAGACTTTTCTACTGGAGAGTCCAGATCCCTTTAACTAGTGCCACTC